CTTCCGTTTCCTTCTCTTCCTCCTCTCCATCTGGATAATCGAGGGCGTCAGCGTTCGCTATGGAATTTTAGAAATTTCCTTTTTATCAACAACGAAGCGGAAGAAATACGTTAAATATGGTGTGCACGTCCGTCGCGTTTCTTTCTGTCTACGCACGAGACTTTCCACGGTACCAGGTGACGAAACGAACTTACATAATGCAGAACACGTTTACAAAGATCATAATTATTTGATACTGTCGCGTTATATCACGAGAAAAAAAAAAGGAACAGTCTAAAACGTGGCTGCGCCTTGGTGGTTTTGCATTACGACAGGAAGTAATCAATTTCGTATGATCTTGCAATTTCTAACTAACTCCTACCAACGAGGAAATTGATTAGTGCCATTAATTTGATTTTTATCAAATTTCTTTTTACACGTATTTCTCATGCAGTACTCGATTTGGAATTCTGTTAGTTTAGATAAGCTTTCGATATTGCGCCAACGAATATATTATACTAAAGCCCCATTATGCCGAAGTTAAGAAACCTACAAATTTTTGAACACCACTCGTACCACATTAACACTAGTTTTACGGAACCCGTCAATCTGACGGAAGGGTTGTTCTAATTATACGATGGTAACAGATTTAGTTAACTTATATTAAGACTGTTAATATAATATATAATTATTTTGAAATTAAACCAATCGTTAAAAAAAAAAGGCACGTGGTTTCCTTTACCTGTCAATTTGACAGGTGTTCTTAGAAATAAGTATACAGATAGCGTCCGTAAACCTAGTGTTAAAAAGTTAAAGAATCTGCGAATAAACAGTTGATTTCGTCGAGAATATCTTTGACCAAAGATTTTGAGAAATATCCTTGCAATTAGGAGTAACGTACGTAACGATAATTCAAAATTTGAATAGCTCTCAAAATTGAACTTACCTATAGCCTCGTATCGTGATCGATTATTACTTCCATAATCGTCGTAGTAATAATAGGCGTCGTATTGACTCGTTGAGGGATCTTCCACGTAATCTTCATCCCTCGACGTGTCTTCCTTCTGAGCATTTACATCTGTCTGTACTTTTTCGTGCTTCACCGCAGAATCGGTGATTTTAGAGAGCTTCGAAGCTTCGTGCTCCGATTTTGCATCGGTCTCAGTCTCGTACTCATCCTCGTAGACTTCTTCGTCTACTCCCTCTTCGCGTTCGTTCTTCTTTCCGTTTATTTTCGAAATTTCCATGACATTGTTCTCGTCCAAGGAGCGTAATAGCGTTTCCGCTGGATTATTGACGACAGGTGCATTTTTATCCTGTTGCTCGTACACCGAATTCGTTGGTATCAAACGTGATAATTTGTCCCAAGTCTCGGCTGATCCTTGAAAGGAAATCGGTTGATTCGTTATAGCGATATTTAGATAGGCAAGTAGTCGTAGCGAGTAAAAATTGGAGCACCGAATGTGGAAAATGGGCGTGCTCGATTCGCATAATCATGTATAAATCATAGTTGCTCTTTTACGGACTTAACTAGCACGTTCCGTGAGAAACTGTCCCGAGCTGTTTCCGAAAGAAAGCGAAGACGCTTTCCAGCATTGTTTCTTCGTGTTTTGCAATGCCCTTTGCATCGAGAAACAGTCTATCTTATTTTTACGACTTCCCGCGGAAAACTCAGCTGTGAACTTCCTGTCACGTTGCGTGATTTAATAATCATTTAAATATTCCTGTTAAAATTCTGGAATATGTAACATATTACACGCTGTTACGACATAACTATATCATTCGATTTCTCTTGTATTTTAGACGAAAAATTGTAAATTAACCGTTTGCACTCGAGAGGTGACTCTCAGTCATCGTTTGTTTCAATGCTATAACTTAGATAACGAATGATGATAATTATATTAAGAACATCGAAGTAAAATTATTCTATTCCTTCGTTTCACACGCAAATTCGCGATTTTCTTTTTCTAATTTTAGCATAAAGAGTGTCAGTGAGCTTATAAGAAGTCTAAGAAGAGATTCGAATTGCATCTTCACAACGAAGAAATCTTCGAGTCCAAAGGGTTAATAATACCTAATTAACATGTACTTTTATTTGTCTTAAAGGAATGATGATGTTTTAAGAAGAAACGAAACGAGAGATAATTTCTCCATTGAATCTACAATTGAATATAAAATAAATCATTAATCTTTAATGTATATTGAATTCTTGTATGATATTGAAATATCAATTCTGAATAATAACGTTAATTTTATACGAGTCTGGATTGGAAAAAGTTTCATTCGTTTTTATGTCGAAGGAGATCAAAGCTGATTTTTATTCGAAGCAAAAAAATAATTTGCACGATTTCCTCGTTTAAGAATCGATGTTCCCCTTTTCCTAGCTTTCGATTAGAAAAAGTGTGCTCTACTTTCGTATTTCAGAACGAAGAGACTTTCTTGTGTCGAAAATAAATTAAGGACAATTGTGAAATTTTCAAGTTATTGCTAGTACCCTAATTGCCCGAAATTTGCAATTGTGCGGTAAAACATAAAGGTATAATTGCTACTATAAGTAAACTATCACTAACGAATTGTTCATTAATAATTTTGGAAAATAAATCAAATGTTCGTGCTGCAAGAGATACTGATGTAATAAATTGATTTGCATATTCCGTTATTTTGCTAAACTTCGTAAAAGAGAGCTGTATTGTGGCCCAATCTCTGCCCACGTAATATTAGCAATGTTAGTTCCGCTATTCTCATGGCCTCGTTGGACTTCTACGCACCTTCCCTTTCTTGAATAAAACACTTTGAAATTAATTCATCGCTCAATGATACCGTTACTATTTTCAATTCATCGATGAATTCGCATTAAGTTAAAGAAAACAAACAAACATTCGAAATATCCTGTACTAAATCCTTTCTAAACTATAACTTTGGCTTTCAAGGAGAGTGCAAGTCCGTCGGATCACCGATTTGGTTGAAACTTTGCAGGTATGTAGATATCGTCATGCTGTTTCAGAAACTATATTATTATAGCTGCAACTACTCAATAGTATTTAAGATATTTATGATTAAATTTTTCTTACTACGTTCATTAAGGCTCAATATTTAAAGTTTTATAAGTGAGATGGTGGCATAACGGTGAGAGTCCAGAATTGCGATGCCGGACGACCCGAGTTCGATTCCCGTCGAATAGTTCTGCTAGTTTTTCAATTTATTTCGTATTAATTTTTTGTCTATGAAAACATTGTAAATAAACAATTGTAAATAAAATTTCTTAATACAAAAATTTATTCTTTACGCTTCCTTATGCTAGTATATATTTATTACAAAAGAATATTATACAAGAAAAATACTTTTCTATAGTGTTCTTATTTACTACAGAAAATATAGAAATATAAAACCTGTCGCTCATATAAGTGTTAATTATGAAAGTAAACATCGTATAAGAATGTTGTCTGTAATTCCAATTTTGCTGTGCAGCTAAAAATATTCATGAGTTAATTAGAAAAACTTGTAAATTCATTAATTTTCTATAGCCGAATTGATTTCTAGTATCTAGTTCGAATCAAAATTTTACCGCCTGTGATCAGCGCCATCTATGATTTTAGCTCATTTGCTCGGAAAAGTGATAGGAATATAGAATAGGCAAGGAGGTCGTCTAAGAGCTCGTCACGTGACAGACAAGGACAGAGAGGGGGTAGAAAAGGATAGAATGGCTCCGGCAGTGAAAAATTATTAATTACTCAATTTCTGTAATTAATTTATGAACCTTTATAATTTCATTGCAAAGCTGGAACTTCAGGCTACATTCTTATATAATATTCGTAAAGAATTTATCTCTAAATTGTTAGTTATTAATTTCTGTTTGATGGCGTCTATGATTTCGTAACAACGACCATCACGATCTTCCGTGAAAATATTTAATACTCACCGAAACTAGAATCAAAATGTGAACAAAAGTTATATGAGAAGCTTCGCAAGGACATTGGCTTTCTAACGAGTGCATAAAGTTCCATAAATTAATTGCGTAGAGGATTGTAATTAATGAAAAACCAATGGCGTCGTCGACAATAATTCAAACATTCCGTAGAATAATAATTAATAATTAATCAATTAGGGACAAATTTATATCGAAAAGTATATTGGAAAGTTCCTGAAGGATCTACCTTTACGACGCAGTTATAAAAGTTCATAAATTAATCGCAGGAATGGAGTAATTAATTAATTCTCTAATAAAAATTCAAAAAGGAACATTCAGCGCCACCTATAGTTATGTATTGGAACTAACAAAGCACAAACTTCCAGATAAGAATCATAGGCGGCGCTGACTGTTCCTTTTTGAATTTTTATTAGAGAATTAATTAATTACTCCATTCCTGCGATTAATTTATGAACTTTTATAATTGCATCGTGAAAGCAGATCCTTCAAGAACTTTCCAATATATTTTTCGATATAAATTTGTCCCTAATTAATTAATTATTAATAATTGTTCTGCGCAGTGTTTGAATTGTTGTCGAATATTTTCAAAGACGCCATTGATTTTTCATTAATTACTATCCTTTACGCAATTAATTTATGAAACTTTATGCACTCGTTATAAAGACAATATTCTTGCGAATCTTCTCATATCACTTTTGTTCACATTTTGATTCTAGCTTCGGTGAGTATTAAATATTTTCACGGAAGATCGTGATGGTCGTCGTTACGAAATCATAGACGCCATAAAACAAAAATTAATAACTAACAATTTAGAGTTAAATTCTTTACGAATATTATATAGGAATGCAGCCTGAAGTTCCAGCTTTGCAATGAAATTATAAAAGTTAATAAATTAATTACAGAAATTGAGTAATTAATAATTTTTCACTGCCGGAGCCATTCTATCCTTTTCTATCCCATCTCTGTCCTTGTCTGTCACGTGACGAGCTCTTAGACGACCTCCTTGCCTATTCTATATTCCTATCACTTTCTTGATTTTTGAGCCCAAATCATAGATGGCGCTGATCGCAGGCGGTAAAATTTTGATTCGAACTAGATACTAGAAATCAATTCGGCTATAGAAAATTAATAAATATCCAAGTTTTTGTAATTAATTCATGAACATTTATAGCTGCACTGCAAAGTTGGAATTATAGGCAACATTCTTATACAATATTTAATTTAATAATTAATACTTACATGAGCGATAGGTTTTATATTTCCTGTAGTAAATAAGAATGCTATAGAAAAGTATTTTTCTTGTATAATATTGTTATTATTTTGTAATAAATATATATTAGCATAAGAAAGCGTAAAAAATAAATTTTTTTATTAAGAAACTTTATTTACAACTGTTTATTTACAATGTTTTCATAGGTGAAAAATGAATACGAAATAAATTGAAAAAACTAACAGAACTATTGGATGGGAATCGAAACGCCGGGTCTTTCGGCATAGGAATTCTGGACTGTCGCCGTTAGGCTACGACTCCACTTGAAAACTATTGAAAATGAAACTATAATTAAAGAAGTAATAAAAGTTTAATTGTAAATATCTCAAAGGCTATTGAGTAGTTGCAACTATAATAATATATTTTCTGGAATTGCATGACGAAATCTACAAACCTGCAAAGTTTCAACCAAACTGGTGACCCAAAGGACTTGCACTCTCCTTGTTAGCATTAAACATACGTTGCTTGATTCAACGAATAACATTATCATAAAGTGCTTAAACAATTCTTCTTAACATGATTTTGTATCGCAAATATATTACGATTATGTATAAAATATACATAAATTTGGCTTTTGTTAGTATTATCCAACAGGAGTGAATATTATATTTTGCATAGAGAATGGCTGAAATATTGTAAGTTGTAAGAACATAAGATAGTCTTGAAAAGAGTTGTATCAATGGTAAATGTCGTATCTGGAATAGTTCCGTGGGTGTGCCTGCGATGGAATCAACAAGGCTTCGAGCCTGCGAAATCCAAACGCGAATATAAATTAAGGCGTGGTTACACTACTCGAGTGCGTTAATTGCATCGACTTTCTTACAATTCGTTTCTTGGTACACAGCTTGATTTCTCACCACTAAGTCTGTAGATAGTATGCGCCGCTTTAATTGTAAGTTATCAAAGTTCACTTGCACTTTCCGAGCTCGGGTTCTGGCGCTTTGTTGCAACGTTTTATTTTAGGAGAAAAACACTAAAAATGATCAAATTATTTTAGCATGCATTTTATCTTATATCGCTGCTTATACAACTTAATAATTTGTCACAAAAAGTATACTAAATAATTCGACTTACTTACAAACTTTTTAAAAACTCAAATGCTATACTTTTGTTTAATTTACTTCTGCTCTTATTATATGGCCTTTCATTTATATAAAAAATAGTTTATTTCTGATTTATCATTAATCATTTTATCTATATACTCCATTAGTCTGTTAGATATATAAATCTGTCATCGTCTAATTTCCAATAACTGATACGAGAATTGTAACACATTCATTGTTTGTTAATATGTAATTCATTTACAAAAATTACTAATTTTAGTCCTGATTATATTGATCAATAGGCTTGTATGTATGTAAATATTTTCAATTAAGTCTGAACGATACCGTTCACTGATCGCAACTTTTGCATCTCACATTGGGAATTATTACGCTATTAGAAGCATAACGTGTGAATATTTGCGGTAAATGTTACGTGATTAGCTGTCAACGGAAACACGTTAGTTTGTACCGTATATCTAATTTCATGCAAACACAATCTTTTCTCGAACTGAATACTGTTACAAATTGCAGCGTAGACGTAAAATTATCCTCATTCAAATAAATTTATATCTTCACTTTACAAAAAATATTTATCGATATTGAATGTAATTAAAAATTAATTTGTATTATCAGTAAACGAATAACTGAAACTTCAATTTGCACTGATATATTTCATATTCTGATAGCAATAAAATTCATTGCAAATTCGTCAATATTTAACTTATCTCGAAGTCATTGTGATTTAGTAGTCGATATTGCCTTATTTCTTTTACCGGAACTCTCTCATATGTCTAACAGTTTCCGGTGTAAATACTAACCGGATTCGATATTCTCAGCTGTCTCAACCGGCTATTGGCAAATTCATCGATCTATTGACGTAATTCGAAAACACTTATATGGCCAATACCAGTTCGTATTTTCAGTGGAACTTGTTCGGTACTTTCACGATCGGGACAGCAGGAAGTGTCTGGCTGAATTCTAACGGGTGTACGTGCAAGAAAGGAGCGAGAAGTCGCGCGTGCCAGGCTTAGGCAACGAAGTTGTAAATAATGGGCCGAGTGCAGCCGTTCTCCTTTCAATCGTCCTTCGACTTGATCGCCTCTACTCTCCGCACATACGTTCACACGAATTCTTAACTTGAAGTACTTGGTAAAGTATTGATCACATTTTCCTCACGCTACAAAAATTATTGTTATTTAATCATTTATTATCTTTACTTTCAATTATCTTTTTTATTATAATAAAAAAGGAAAGAATTACCACTGCCAGCATTTTACTTTTGACATTTGCGTTTTATATCTCTGTATCTTCATATTACAAAATTTATGACATTTCTAAAAATCATTTTAACGTTTTTATGATTCGGCTTTCTACATATATTACTCTTGATTGATATGACATAGCGATTCTGTGCTCCTGTGACGTCATCAAATTGTCAAGTTTCATTAATTGCATAGTTATATACAAATCTAAAATCAGTAGTCATATTGAAAATGTTTTTGCTCGAACTAGAACATATCTTATTATTCTAGATCGTATCTTTCGTTGTATAATATCTATACCGGTTGTTGTTAGGAATATGATTATCATAACAATGTCACTTTTCAAATGTTTCTTTTATCTCAACTATTATAAATGCATACCTTTGCTACATTTTACCAAGCCTTTATTCGCTCGTCTTGGATAAACGTATAAACGAGTGGTGTGACCTCGCACGATTTCAAACCGATTAAAACCGCTTACGCCTTCTCTTCGACTCGATAATGCAGTCCCATACAACCGCAGGTCACAGAACTACATCTATCTGCGTAGTACAACGATATTTTGAAATAACATGTTTCATACTTATTGTACCATGACTTTCCTTATCCAACATGAATATAAAAGGCGAAAGATTCGCGTCTGTACGCAACAAATGGCCGTGCCATTTTCTGGTCTACAATGCTAGTGAAAACGAAGCCTAAATAAGAAACGCGCCTCGTCAAAGATTCAATGCTTGATACGTACTTTCCATAAACGAACACACCGTTATTATGCCGCTACGCAATTAATACAAATTCTCGATACGCGATGTTCGAGTTCCACTGTCGTGTGGACATGATTAATGACGAACTTCATGCGTAGATGGCGCCACTGATTCTCCTTTATTAACATTTGTTTGTTCATGGACCCGCGTAAACTTTCTCTGTGATTGATATTTACGAACGTTTGTATTCTGTGTCAATAAATTAATAACTTGTTATTAATTAGCGTTGTGAAAATTTTATTTGTAATATTAATCCAAATTTAAAAGTTTTGAATAATCTTATGAAATTTAAATAAACACATAACCAATACAGAAACAGTGTAAGAATATGCGTTGATATTACTATGTATATTGGCACAAACTTTCTCTACAGAAGTTTCTTTTTCAAGGTTAATGACTCAACTGAGAAAGAAGCTAAATCGTTTGCCTTACTAATCTCGTAACTTTGTTTATAATAATATATAATTAATAACCTATGCTATAAATATAAAAGAATGTTTCTCGTGTTATAGATCCATTTTGGAAAATTGAGGTTCGGTACAACACTTCGTTAATGATTTGGACTTTCCCAACCTGATGATTAATTCCGTGATAAATCTGGTATTCCGAGATTTCATAAAAATCTCACCTGTTACGAGATCCGTGAGATGAACATCACTAAAGCTTGTGCTGAAAAGAGCGAGGTCATGGAATGCACGACAAAACGTGTCATATTTCACGGAAATTATTTACACGAAGACCGTTTATTATTACTCGCCCACGATACAAATATTGAAAAATTTAACACATTCTATGTATAATTTTAAATAGTATTTTTGAAACTCGATTTTAAATAATGACTTAAAACATTCACGTTTACAGGTTTTTTTTTATTTAATTGGAAACGAGTGAATACACGAAGGAAGCACAGACAATTTCACTATCATTAAACATACTCTACATTGCAGATTACTGGAACTCGTTACGTTTTGATCTGATTACTTTAATTCATGGATTTATTAACGTCCAGAAATTACTTACTAAACATAGAAAATGAATAAAATGGAGTTTATTTGAGTGAAGTATTCAAGTTCTACTTTTTTTTCTTTTATTAAAATTAGCGAATTTAGTCAGTATCGAGATGGTTGATTTGATATTATCCTTTATAGTGATTACGCAATGGATGATAACAAAAGGATGCTATGAGCGAAATTACGTAAATTTTATCTCTTTCTGTATTGGCCACAATTTCAACTTACATATATCCGTTTTAGGGAACCATGATAATCGTTGATCTCGAAGTCGTTATTACAGGCAACAATGGAGATTCAATTGCGTTATCGTGGTACGCGATTGTACGTAACACTCGTATAGAATTGCGGTTCTATTGTATTGCGTATTGTATCGCAATATACCAGGTCACGAATTCAAACTATCTGGTATTGCACGGCGGTCATCCACCGTTTATCCTGTCTGCAGGTTTAAGGCCGGATTGTATGAAGTATTGTGCTGTTTGCAGTTATGCTTCAAGAAAATTTGCGCATACCATTCATACAGTCACCAGCATATCTGCAATCTATTCATCTATTGTCATGTATTGAACAAGGTTTGTTACGAAAATGTTACGACTTATTTATTAAACAAGAGTTCATCAAATATTATGCAAAAATATTAACTTATAAAACATCATTCGATTTATTACAATACTTGTAAAAATAACAAATTTCAATTTACGTATTTCTCTACCCAATTTTCATCGACGCATTATTATTTTACAGGAACAGCTAGTTGAAAATTTTGTCGACCGTAGAAACGATAAAGAATACGAATTAAGCCAGAAAGATTTTATTGTACCCAGTGAATCGTGACAGTCATACACCGTCGACTCGCCGGATTACATAAATACCACCTACACATTCCACTGGTATTACGTTGTCAAAATCAAACGGGACCTTTCAGTGGTTGCGGTTGAACAAACTTCGAAGTCCACCGCGGCTCGTAAATCACCCGGTAACAATATACTTCGAAGAATCCGAAGAAGCTTCTCGTAGGGCAGTAAAAATTCAGTCGGGTAACCTGGAATCCCATAAATCTTCTGCGACACATATGTCCACGAGGACGTTCGCATTTACTCTGTGCTTTATCCATGAAAGGATTGCGCGGATGTTGTCAGTAGCGCGCCCTCTCGATCGGAACGTGAAACAGTATCGTGCACTCGAATTCGTCGTTCTAAAGGGGTACTTTTTGCGCGGGTATTTTCAGAAAAACATACCTTGTTGACAGTTCGTTGAAAGGAAGGAGCAGCCAAGAATTAGAATTGTTAGTATCACGTTAACGAATCGGGTATCGTTCGTTTTGCGTCTCGACATTTTCCTCTTACACTTGTTCACACCGCGCACTTTTTCGTATCGATACGATTTCGAGCCAATTCGCCCGACTGTCAGAATAACACTGTCATCGTAACGATGCTGAAATCGGTGGACTTTTTTCGTCACAACGTATCTATATTGACGATTTATCGATCAATAATGAACGGACACATCCTCACAGTGAAAAAGAGACGTTCGCGAGCACGGCGCGCTTGTCACTGGCTACGGGTAGAAAGCAAAATCCCACTTTCACTTGGTGGCTGCGCGCCTCGCGAGGCGGAGCTGGCACGTCGAGGCCATCGCGATCTTTCCCTCTCCTTTCTGTTCGGTTACTTCTCTCCTGCCTCTCTTCTCGTATACACGTCTTTGTGACGATCAACGAGAGGGAGTCAATACTTAGAAAAACCGTGGGGACGGGTTTTAGCAAAAATTTGAGAACGTCCGGGTACGACCTTTCTTGTATCCTCGCGAAGGTCGCTTGTAAGGATCAACGATCTTTCGCAACGATTTTAGAACTTGGGAGTCAATGTTTTCGACGCGAAATCGAGACCCTTGAAATTAAGACTGCATTGCATGTTGTAAAGAAAAAGATTTCTTACAAAACATATTACTTACTTTTGAAAATAATATTAATTAATTTTTGGGAACTTTTAAAGAAATTAATACAAAGATGTACTTTTCAAGTAATCATTGGTTACAAGTTTGTTTCAATAATATTTTCTTATTTTTTAAATATCAATTGTTACTATTATACTTGTATTACATATATACTTGAATTCTATATCTTAAAATATAGTACATAAGAATTATTCCATATTTTATATTAAAAAATTTATATACTTATTTATTATAAAAAGATATTACTATAAATATTTATTTTTATATAAATATCATTACAATTATTTTAAATAAATAAATTAACAATAATTATTACATACGTAATAATTACTATTAATTTGTAAAATATTCATCTTAAATTAATATTTTGTACTTTTAATTCACCGTTAAAAAGTTTAAAAATTCTACTTTTCGAATATTCCGAAAATATTATATATTTCATGCGACGGTCTCTGATGTCTGTGCATTATGCGTCTCACAAAGTAAACATTGCATTCGGTTATTTATAGCATGCGTTTAGCATCTTTATTTCAGTACCATCTATCGTCTTTTTGGGGGCTCGAAAGAATGCAGTCCAAGAATGTCATAACACGGGCGCGTCCTTCGGCAGGACCTTCGTAAACATTTTTTTGACGTTGATTTTATCCTGCCGTGATACGTTCGTTAACCCTTACCGGTTACGGTCGACCTTTACGAATCGATGTATCGTCGATTCCGAACTGATACACATCCGGCCAGAAACCAGACGGGTTCGAAAGGAAAAAGACGAGCAAGGTCGGGATATCCCAGAGAAAGTAATGACGCAATAAGGTTGGCGATGATACTCTGTAATAGCTTTTAAATTACTATCGCCATGATATTAGTATTGCGTGTTTTACGTCACGTATGGTTTTGTATTGCTTTTAGTTCCTATGATCGACCTCGAGAGGACGGTTTAAAGAGAGAGATTGAAGTTACCTGTCGCGTTCTTATGAGACGGTTTTCAGCATGGAGAACTAAGATGTTTTTTGAATACGCTCAACAGATGTAAAACTGTGAACCAAACAGTAAGTTTATCGTGTTAAAAAAGTTGAATGAAATTACTTGAATGGATATTTACATTTCTTGTTTCTAAGGTAATTTGGATATCTGTTTTAGATTGTTTATTTATAAAGTATCGGAGAATAATCTTTGATAAAAGAGAGTAATATGTTTCATAGTTAACAATGAAGAAAATAATAAAAGATTTAAAAGGATATAATATTTCTGCTGTTACTTGTAGTACATTTCTATACAATTAAAAGTTGTTCAAGTAATATGTATATACTTCGTGAGATATTTGTCGATATTCGGATTTTCAGTTACTATTTATGTAAAATTACGAGAGGAGATTCGGTTACAAACTAGCCATCGCGTCAAGTTGCCAATTTGTATTCCTGTAGAGTTAGCAGGAAGTGCAATGTGGTCCCGATTGTAACGGTAACGACAAAGATATACCATATACAATCATGTACGGTATTTTGTTTCGTGACAATGGTACGAATTTGCAAAATAATGTCAGTACTTATGTTTCAAAATTCCTTAGATACCGTTGAAAGGATATTTTAATTTAGATGCAATTAAATTCTATTTCGAACAATTTTTTATCGATAAAAGTTTATAAAATTGTGTACAAAAGTTACGACAATTTTTTTCCAACTTAAATTAATGTATATGTTTGTTTAAAAACTAATTTATGTAGAAGAGAAATGGTATGATACCGTACCTTTTCTAATAAATGCAGGCGTTGAAGTCTCTACTTCTATACTCGTATTGAAATCACCACATGAATTGCCTGATATTACAGTGTCTAATATAATTTGTAATAGTAAAAATATACGTACATGATTGTTTGACAGTGATTAAGAAAGATAAATTTGCATTTGTTTTTTAATTTTTGAAACAAAATTATGCGCTAATAAATTGTATAATTAAAAAGTAAAATTATTTTTGTTTGTATAATGTTACAATGCGCAAAAATTTTATTATATTTATTCTATGTACATTATTTATATTGTAACATTATAACATTACATAATTACGTAAATTAATTACTATTCTTGATTAGAAATAAACAACTTCAATATTAATGAATATAAAATAAAATGTACAAATTATTGTGGTAATTTTTGCGATCTTCAATTGTTTTGTATTACACTATATTGCTCTTTATAGCTTACGCATGTCTGCAATGAAATATTATAAAACATTAGAAATAAAACGTAAATAATTTGATAGATTATTAGGAAATATGTGTAAATGTTGTTTACTGCAATCTTTATGAATGATTTATTGAAGAAAATATATTTTTCTAATGCATTTCTTTCTTTTTTTCAGATTAAAAATTCCGTACCGTAAAAATGCCACATGAGTAAATGGTAAATAATTGTGATTGTGAACAATGTATAGAATTGTTTGTATGTATAAAATCCTTTGATTAGAATCAAACGGTGTTAGATGACAATACTTCATAGAATACTTACGGTTCATAATCCAATAGAGCTGTATGAGAAAAATAATTCGAAAATTGAATACATGATTTCCGAATTTTACTCCGTCAAAAAGGTATTGTGCATGATTGTCGTATGTTATACATTTTTTGTTTTAGATACAAGGATTACATATTTTTTTTTTTTTTTTTGGACTATTATATTTTAACATCAGTTTATAGAAATTCACTGCACATGCTTTTAAACTAGTCGAGAGTGCAACAAGCACTCGTTGTTGTAATTCTCATGTAATTTTCATACAAAATATTCATAATGGGGTGCTTATGTAACAAACCTGGATAAAATATGTATAAAATTCGCACTTTATGATATTACTATATAATATTACTAGCAATTCTTTCGTAACTAGTATCTATTTTAATGTAATCCAACAAATAATGATATGCTTACACTATGGCATCTTTACAGTATGACACACATTTTTAGCTGTGTGGAATTGGCGTTAGTTTTATTGAATCCTATAATTACAGGCGATAATCATCTCGTGTGTAAAGTACTTCAATTCAACTACAGCTATAAATTCAATCACTGATTTGTTATTTGGACACCATATATATACCATGCTTCGATGTGGGCCTCGTTAACTAGAACAAAGATAGATTCCGCAAATTCAAACATGAATAGATATTTTTTTTACTTTATTGGAGATATTAGTTACTTTGTGGTTGGTCTTCTTGACGGTTCTGAGGCAGTAGGTGGTGGAGGTGGACCCCGTCGTGCCAATTCTTCTAAATATCCCATTAATAACCGCGTTCGTTCAGCAGCAGCTGCTTCTAATACAAGAAATCTCCGATCCTTCCTTAAAATTTCTTCAATTTCTGCTAAATGTGCACTATTTTCTTGTACTTTTTTATATGTTTTATCAGTAATAAGTTTTGTTTCCTAAAAATTGATATTTGATCAACCTCTTTAAATACGCAGCTGGTAAAAAATACTGTATAATAATAACAATAGAATTAAAATGTATTTTTAACTTACTTGTAGAAGTTCTCTAAAATCGGCTTTGGCCGCAACAAGTTTATCTTTAATATATTCCTTAAATTCTTTCTCACATTTCTATAAAGAAAAATAATAAATATGATACAACGGCATTAAAAAAAAGTGATTCATAATTCATCTTATATAATTTTAAACAAGTTACATACCCGATCACTGGATGAAAATTTAAGATACCTAGGATCGTCTTTTAATAATTTTTTTATATCTCTCCACGATGCTGTAAGTTCAGTAGAAGCTCCTACTTCATCGAGAAGTTCTCGGAATTTATCACGCTTTTTACGACTGAGTTGTTCTATATGTTCATTGAATAATCTTTCTTTTTCCTCACGGTCTAAACTTTCCGCCAATTCCCATCTATGATCTTTCCTCAATTGCCTTTTCGCTTCTCGCCATGCTAAATCACCATTTCTCACCTGTAAATATATGTTCTGTTAAGCGCATTGAATTTATTTAAGATTTGTATCGTTCGTAATAAATTGCGTAAGAGAAATGCATACTAAATCTGCAAGAAGAGCACTGAAATGTTGTACTGCTTCTGTATGACGATGATGCTGCCTTTCCTTATCCCTATCGCGAAGATGTGTAGCCAGAGTTCTCTGAACTTATCTTTCCCTTTCACGAAGACTCGCTTCCGCTCTTCTTTCGCGTTCTCGCTTTTGTTTCTCTCTATCTTCTTCTGAATCAGATTGGTCCTCTGCGTTCTCCTTCTACGTTAAAAAGGATCGTGTAAATTATCATAAAATTAAATTTAGTTAAGTTAAGAAGTTGCAACACTTACATCATTTTCCTTCTTTGATGGTTTTTCATCATTATCCTCGATTTCACCGCTTTCTTTTTCTGCCACTGTTTCCTTTTTTTCCTTGCCATTTTCCTCTGTAGGTGCCTCGCTTCTACGTTTCTTGTCCTTTGAACTGTCCTTGTCAACTCGATCCTTTGAAGACTTTTCCTTGTACTTATCAACATCCTTTCGGTCCCTATCTTTCTTCTCCGATTTGTGATGATCTTTATCTCTGTGTCGATGGTCTTTGTCTTTTTCTTTTTCCTTTTTCCTCTCCTCCTTTAGCATACGAATGTAATCCCTAAACCAATCTTCCCTCGTGCTTGCTGACTCTACGACTCTGTACCTCCAATCTGATTCCAATTTTTTCTTACAATCGCTCCAATGCGAATGCCTGTCGATGTCTTTGTGCTCACGTAGCATCGCTATGAATTCCTTTTTCACCTGAAACGCATTTACCATAACAGTTTTTATCATTGAAAAATAATCAGCTCTTGCTTACGCTCTATTTATACAATTCTGTCTTAAAATTGAATCTCTTATATATTTATTTAATTTTTTGCTTGTTTCAGTTTTATCATGCACGCTTAATAATTTCCAACGAATGATTACATGTTCAGCCACATTACAATCACTTTGACATTATTATATATACGTGTATATAAAAATTTATGACTTGTAATGTGGATCAAACTATGTCAACTTGCAAACCTTTTTATTGGTTTTCAAACTACATTTCGTTAGAGGTAGAAGAAATAGTCATTCATGTCATTCGTTCGTGTCAGGAGGTATCACAACGTTAAGGGCTCTACTTGTTGGAATTTTTAATGAAATAAGCTGGTCAGTTTTGCTGAAAAAAATTATAATCATTACAGCTGTAAAAATAATTATTTGCTAGCCGAGTCATCATTAAATACGTTGCATATTACAGTACGAAAAGTAATAAAATGTAACACAGAATTGTAAAACGTGAAGGTAAAAGTATGCTATCATTTAATGATGAGACGGAATATAAAATGGATAAATTATTATCTGCTGCCCTTGCTGAAAAGGAAAAAATCGTTAGTATATTGTCACGAGATTTTGAAAATATTAAAAGCTTTCAGCCGTTCAAATTACGAAACGAGGTTTTACTTTTTATTACTACTTGTTTTACAGTACCTTCCCAAAATATGTAAATACGTAAATATCTACTTTAATTGCTCTTAATATAGAATTTTACGATGACAATTATGACAATTATGAATGTGATGGAATACAATTTTCAATACATAAAAAAAACTGAACTTGAATGGATTCTTTGGAATTTCCTATTAAAATGATTTTAAAACTGTTAAAAAGTTTTACATTTTAACACTAAAAAATATTTTTTAATCATTGAATTAGTTTATTTTAATATATATTTTTTTCTTGGTTCCTTCATAGTTTTATACCTCCAAAATAAAACATGATAATAATATTTAATTTATTTTCAAATTCCCATTACGTAATTTGTGAACGACATAATTTAAATATAATAATAATAATAATAATAATAATAATAATAATAATAATAATTTGTTATTTTATTTACGTAAACTTATACACGTCTATTTCACATTGAAAGTTGACTAGAGTTCAGAGTTGCTGGCACATTTTGGTCTTGAATTTTTTATTACAGTTATTACTCGGATCCTGATCCTATACAATTTTATGGTAGTAAGAAACTTGTGCCACAATTGTCTAATTTTTATCTAAACATAATAGTTGCAAAGCCCACTTCTATTATTTTTAAGACAAAAGCAGTCAAGGTTCTCTGAAGAATACAAACCAAATTTCATAAAGCACACTCATACTATCATTTCAATATACTCATCTTGTTGCTTCAAATATATTAATTTTTTAAACAAAAATACTTGCATTGCATTTCATGGCAAATAAAATATTTGTAAAAAAAAAAAAAAATACTGATACAAGACGAAATATCTTGATACCAATTGAAATGTACATTATCAGTTTTTGATATAAGCACATTCTCATTTATATTTAAAGTTTATTATATCATGTATTGACATAAGAACAATTGCAAAAAAATTGAAATTTCGATAGAACTTTCCACTCTCCAATAATCAAAATTGTTATATAAACAAAATTACGAAATCGTTAAAATTTCACTTGATCAAAAATAAAATATAAAGGAAGAATTAATTTGTTCTTATGTTGATACAATGATTAAAAAATAAATTGGTAGCTTCTCTTTCTCAAAGCAAATAACGGTTCTTTATCTCCAGAAAACAGAACAAGATCTGCAAATACTTTCTTTTTTAATTGATGCTACCATTGGGGTTGGTACCCCATTTTTGCTGATAATAAATTTTTATTTTTTTGAAATTGTTGGTTTTGATTTTTGGGGAAAAGTTAATCTTTTGAAGTAACGAGGATTACGAGTAATATACAAATACCGAGTTCGTTCATTCTCATGACTCTGCTTTGGAGTAAAGAATGCGGCGCGCGAGGGTGTGCCAACTGTGCCACGCAGTGTAGGTGGGGATGGTAGATGACATCATCCATGCCACCAACCAGCTTCAGAACCAAGCCACTCCACATACGGAACCTGTCCTGCCTGCCTCCTGACTGAAGTGGAGAGTTCAGAACACATAAGTATATAAGGAACCGTCACATACTAAGATTTTATTCTCTACATCTCCCATCTTACAGCTACAAAACTTTTGTCTATCGAGAAAATCTACTGGAGTAGAGAATTATTAGAGAAACTTCTCCTGGTATGTGTTCTTCAGCCATTAATTTAGGAATTCATATTAGATAAATCTTACAAGTGGAACAAAATAGTAACATACCTATAGAACCTGAAAGAATGATTAATTATTGCTGAAAATATAAATTTATTAAGCATTATATTCTGTCTAAGTTAAGATTAGAACACTTCTCTTTTACTTATTACTCATTTACGTATCATCGCATATTATATCTTTTTTGAACAATAAAACAATACAAATTTTGCTTTGGTGCTGAATAAAGACTTATTCAGGTTTTATATAACTTATCGCGAATATATTATATACTATATTTTCACTTGATATTACAATTTCCCAGAAAAAAATGAAGGGATGCATGTATGAAAATGAGGCTTGGTATGGAAGAGGAAAGGTATAATGGATATGTTTGAAACGAACTTTTTTTTCGTGATACTTTGATTTGGAGAATTAAGGTACATAATAAGATACAAAGCATTGTTCACACGTATCTCAGAAGTGATTGTAATATTTACATTGTTACGTTATGTAGTTTCAAAAGAATTAGAAAAAAAGAAAAAAAAAAAAAAAATAGAAAAAAGAAAGGAAAAAGAAAAAGTGATAATAAGTACCTTAATTCTCATATACTTAAAAAAATTTTGATATATCTTTTTATCGCGTGAATGAAATAACATTTGTAGGATTTTTTCTTACTTATGGTATCAATTAAGGTAATGAATATTTGAAATATTTATAAAATTTCAATAAAAATTCTGATACTGTAGCACGAATCCTGAAAAGTAATATTTTCATTGCAACAAGATCAATAACATTAATAAATTAAAAATACCTGTTCTCGTTTTGCAGTTTTTTCCTCTTTTTCCTTCTTTCGCACTTCCAGCAGATATTCGTTGAATAGGCTCTCCCGTTCACGCATCTTTTCTACATTCTTAAACCGTTCATCACGCCCATGTTTTTGAGCGAAATCACTAAATGAAGATCTAAATAAAAAAAAAAAAAAAATTTAATGTAAAAAATGAATTACTATTTTTCTTTGATTTATATCTAAGAGTTAAAAATATTTCTTAAAAATATTACATACTTTCCATGAAGACCAGCTTCTTCTAACAGTTTTTGGAATTGCTCTTTCCGTTCCTTCATTTTGTTCCTCTTTTCTCGCCTTTCTTCTTCTGCTCTCTCCTTTACGTACTTTTCGAAAACTTGTTTTCTCTCCTTTGATGTTAAAAGTAAGTAGCGAGGGTCGAACACAATTTTATGGAGTTCCTTTTCCCAAGTACTAAACGCGGACACCTGTAAATAAAAATTATTTAAATTGAATAAATTTTATTTTATATTAATGTGTTATTTATGTGAGGTTGTAATTATTTACATCTTTTTCTGCAAGCATATCCCTAAATGATTTAATTCTTGTTTCCAAAGGAACAATTGCTCTTTCTCTAGCAGCTCGTACTTCGGCCTCTATTGCAGCCTCCTTCCCGATGTCAATAGTCTTTTTGTTTTCCTTCTCCTCCTCTTCTTTTGGTGCTGGAGCTAAAACGAAAAATATACAAATATATAACATTTTTTAACATAATATACAATTATGAATATAATACAATTTACTTTTTGTATCTTCTTGCTTCATTTTTTTTGCTGGTGTTGGCTGATCATCATCACTGCTTTCGCTTGTATCCGACTGACGCGTCGTTTTAGTAGTTACTACCGCATCTGGTGGAGTAGACACCATTTTATCGACATCTTGACGACCAATGAGATCATCTGGTCTTTCCCAGACAGAAATACGCGATGAGGGATTATAAAAAAATACGCGTCCATCACCCGTCCAGACAACGCACCTAGTATACAAAGTTTAAATTTAAATTTTATCTAAGCATCATAAAAGGTATTAAATTAATTTTTTAAAGTATACCAAGGAGTTCCAGGTACTGGTGTACTAGAGATTGGTCTAGACTTATCTTGAGGTTTGGCAGCCTCTTTAGGTAATGCTTCCTCTTTTTTCGGTTTATTAGTATCTGTTTCTTTTACACTATCTTTGGTTTCATGATTGCTCTCTTGAGGTTTTTCTTGTTTTGTGGGTTCAGCGGCTACGTTATTGTTAGTAACGGTGGAACTAGTCACTGCAGGATTTGTTGTATTGGCAGCTGCTTCTTCTGCTTTTTGCCGTAACGCTAATTTTGCATCTAGTTATAAATTTTACCGATAAATACTTGCGCACTATATACCTCACTTGTTAATTTAAATCTTAAAACCATACTTTCCAGATCCTTCAAAGCTTGTGGTTTTTCCCAAACAGATTCTCCTGCTTTGCTATTATAATAATATAATCTTCCATCTGGAGCACGATGCTCTGTCCATACCATAGCAGATGCTACAAGATCTTGATCTAGTTGAGCTAATATTGCAGGATCTTCTGCTGGAGCTTGTGGTGTCATTACTCCATGTGGCATTTGTGGCATACCTAATGAATGATCTTTAATATAAAAATAATATGTAATTATTTCTTATGTATGATACGTAAACTTTATATTACCCCAATTTGCTTGTGGGGGACCATAGCCTCCAAAAGGTTGGAACCCTGGTGGTGGCATACCAAAAGGTGCTGCTCCAAATTGTGTTGCAATTGGACCACCAAACTGATTGGGCATTCTATGCTGCATAGGTATCATATTAGGTGGAGGTTGCATCATGTTTGTATTTACTGCTGGAGTATTCATAGATGGGGTATTAGTTACAGTAGTAGGTGCTGTACCTATACAGGAACATAATGTTAAAGCAAATTTAGTCCATATTAAATCTAATCAAAATCAACATATTGTACCATTTGCTTGTGTTGTGTCAGTTGGTTGTGTGTTCATATCTGGTGCTTCACCAAGTGTGGGGGGTGGACCTGTGCCAGGAGGAGCAGTACTAAGTTGATTAATAGCATCTGCATTATTTGTTGAAGATTGTTCACTACTTTGAGATACTCTATTTTCATTAATTTGATTGGGTGTTGTATTTGTGGAAGTAGGAGTCCCAGATGGAGCTGTTTGTTTAGATGCTCCATGTACCAATTGTTCTAGCTGTAAAAAAATCAATATCATCTAGTAAAAAAATATCACATGCTTCAATAATAGAAATTTGTGCTGAAATTTAACAGACCTGGTCTTGAACCATGACCTTAACATTTGGTCCTTCTGGTTTTGTCCATGTAGTTTCTCTGGTACGAATGTTATAATAATACGATTTGCCATCTGGTGTTTTTGTTTCTACCCATACCTCTCCATTGAGATCTAAGCCTGGAATGTTTGCTTGCTGTTGTGCTTGTTGTGGGGGCTGCTGCTGACCTGGAATCTGTAACAAAGTTCCAAATTTCACAACAAGATATTTATATGTCTCTCTATGTTTCTGTAAATCAAAATTTACGTTATTCATATTTGGTGGTCCCATTCCAGGAGGTGGTCCGTATGGTCCCGGACCTGTCCCAATTGGGCCATTCATCATGTGTGGTGGTGGCTAATTAAATATAAAGTTTAATTATACTTAATCACTTTACTGAAAGAACACCTAGAAGGTTAATAGAAAATTAAGTGATAATTACCATTCCTGGAGGTCCCATAAGGTTTGGCGGTCCCATCAGATTTGGTGGCCCCATAGGTCCCCAACTAGGATCGAATGGTGGAGGTCCTCGGAAACGTGGCCCTGCTGGACCCGGTGGACAATTTGGCCTAGGAGGTCCCTCAAATGGAAATCCGTTATTTGCTCCCCGAAACATTGGTCCTCTAGGTCCAAATCCTCTTCCTCTAAATCTTGGAGGTCCACCTCTCATGGGAAAATCAAACCCACCTCTGCCACGACCCCTTAAATTATTGTTATATGTCGTGACTATGTACTTTACGTACCATACGTCTGAATCATTTACCCAAGTGTAGACATCTTCAGCATCTTCTTTTGTTAGATTAATTGTATATTTAGTTTTATATAAAAAAAAGCTTGAACAAGAATACAATAATTTTACATAAATATTAATTATTTATGACATACAAGTCATTTACATTACATTTTGGAAAACATTATAAATATTTTTAAAGACATTATTACCTTTTTGCATGGTATGTTGAATATATAAGCAAAACAATTTACATTCACAAATGAAAAATTTGTTATCACAGAACGTTCATGAAACAAATCAATGAAACATTAATTAAATAAATATGGGCAAATCATTTCATCGTACAGGAGCGTAAGTAGAAACAATAGTCGCGTTTCCATAGTATTTATAAGGTGTAAGGAGTTCGTGACAATATGAAGTTTGATCGTTTTCGTCAAACATACATAAGGGGTCAGGCAGAGGTATCGCGAGGGGACAACCTAACCTTACTTTTTTGTTTCGTATTTTCGACAACAACTAATACAAGGGACGTACGAAATGTTAAGAGAAACTATAACGCACCTAAAGCCACCTCGACCCCGTGGTACGAAATGCCTATAATCTTCACCATCGAAACTGTAATCTTCAGTTTCTTCCATGCCCTCTTCATGGTGCTCCTGTTCATTATTAGAAGCAGTTTCCGTGGTCGCGGGGATTTGTTCGGTGCTCGTTTCCATTTTAGAATAATATAGAAATTAGAAGTTTCTTTTCTACACGCCCATTTATTTCTTTTCTCAGCTTGCACAAAAACGCCGCAAACAAATCACTATTTTATTCAATGTAAGCCGTAAACATATTATTACCAACATAACGAACGCACTTTCCTAGATTCCTTTCTCAGTGTGACAAACCTAACAGTTAGTGAATGTGCTATGCTGGTCGTGTTATCAGTCACTGTTTCTTTAATATTGGTTTGCCTATTTCCAGTGAATATAATTTAATATTTTATGATATTTGCATCTAAATTGTAATAATAAACATTAGCTAACGATTTAAAATCATGGTGACGCTATTATTGCTATTACAAGATAAATTATTGCTGTAGAAGCGATTAGCATCAAATCAACGTTCGAACCAAGTAAGATGGCCATACAAATCTTTTTCCCGCGATTATTGCGTCATAAGAATTGATAATAGTTATCAGATACAATTATGTTTAGTTCATTTATACAATTTTTCTTATACATGTATTTATTATCTAAAATCATTTGCGGTTTTCTTAGTTTGTCAAAATTTCTTTATATTATACCTTTTAAGAAATAATGGTAATTGCGTCATCCTTGTTTAAACGTGATACGCAAATAATGTCCGAAAACAATCGACTCCGAATAAAAAAATTAACTTTTAAATAATACATTTCTAATAGCATCCTGTTTTCCAATAATTATCTTTTACGGCAAAAATTTCTAATAAAATAGAACGAACCAAATATTTAGCATTGTTAATGCTATTTATTTTGTATCTCTTTTACAATATCTGAAAACCGTTATAATATCGATATCGATATTCGTACCAAATTACCGTTATTTTCTATGATAGATAAATTATACGTATAATTGTTTATTTCTTTCGACTATCTCAAATTAATTTAATTTTTCCTATTATTTATATATTCTCACCTTTAAAAGAAAATTAATATTTTTTAATAGAAATGCGTCATGGGAACGTAATACAATAGAACTATAAATGTAGAAGTATAATTTGCAAAAATCTATTCGTTATTAAATTTATCGTTAATAACGAATTACCTGAAGTTCGAATTTATAATGATAGTGGAAAATTAAATTAATCATTAGCTATTACAGTAAAAAAATAATTCTTAACGAGATCGGTAACGATCGTGACTTTTCGGCCGATCTTCGGCAGGCGGCCGCTGTCTATATAAAGGCTGCAGTATGGCAATTCGAGTCAATTGCTGATTTGTCTTTGAATTGGTCGGAGGAGAATTGTTAATAGGGTTAATTCGAAATGTAATTTGAATGGGTATTAGTTATCAATTGGTACCATTTATGATTTATTTCTGGATCGTTATTATGCAATTAGGAGGTAAATTAATATTATTTTTCCAATTAAAAGGGACCTTCTTCACATACAGTAGATTATTTCAACAGTTTAGAGTTCATCTATAGATTCATAATTTGATCATGCATAAGCTCACGTATGGTTGGTTCATCGGCCAACCTGTTCCCGTATTAATTCTACCTCTGATCATACCGTGCCACTACGTATGCACTTAAGACTGTTTATACAACCGATATCTAAAGTGACATGTCATTACTTGTCAAAGGCTCGCGATAATAGTATCTATGTTGCTCGTGGAATTAGATTTGGTCAGTGTCTTTGTGTATGTCATCAAACCGCTCCCCTTTATTCCGTAATCGTAAAATTATATAATCTTAATTACTAACTGTTAACATTAGTCCATTTTAGATACATCATAAATTAAAAAAATTAATTAGGACAGAGCTACATAATTGATTAAAGGATTCTTTGCTTTTTGTCAATTTTGTCACTTTCTTTCGGATTTTTTATTCAGATCACTTTCATAATTACGTGCACACATGTTTCTTCGTTTCTCGGAGGAATTGAACAAAGCGTGAGATCTGCGTTTCGCGTAACATATTTCGCACGTATTTCGAACGAGTCTTCGTATCGATACGCATTTTCGTGTAACATCAACCGATAATTGTCTACACTCGCGTGAATCGATAAGAGTAAATTAATGTTCGTGCAATCGCACGATGTAATTCGGACATGGCATTCGCAATTAGCACCGTCTCATTTCGCGGTCTGCCGCGGTTCGCCGTGTTACGTGTATTGAGTCGGAGAACTTCCTCCGTGACCCGCGAGAGATTATTGTTGGATCTTGAATAACGGCCTGCATGCCTCCGATTCTCCATGACCGTGTTAAGTCCCGTTCGATGTATATTAAATTTCCACATCGACGTCCGCCCTTTGCGAATCCGAATTCCAATAGCCCATATTTCCCGCCGCGCCATTTAATTTCCTCTTCCCTCGTGCCAGTTTTAGTACTTTGTTTCCTTGTTTCCACATCCCTGTCTGTTTTCCCATTTTCGGGTGGCTATCTCATTAACGAATCTTCAAAAATATGTACCGTACAAACGCGACTCGATACGTTTCTCTTCTAGAATATTCTAAATTTACGACATTTTCCCTTCGTTTATATACACTACGCACAAAAATTGGGAGATCACGAATTTTCGGCTGAAAAATCTTTGATCTTTTAACTGCTGTAACTTCATCCACATACGATTCTTGAGGAAGATACAGCAGTTGAAAGATCGACGATTTTTCGGTCCAAAATTCACGATCCTTTAATTTTGCTAAGTGGTATATTTTGCAAAAATAGTTAAATTAATAGAGCACCTGTTTTTCCAACTAGAGATAGAACATATTATCGGACTATTCAGTAATAAATTCAAAATCTTCTCAGATTTTTGTAATATCCGGAACAATAATTAGACATGGACTTGAAAGACCGCGGCAGTGAAAAGACACTATGACAGGGGGTGAAGAGCATAGTGTATAATCTGGCCAAGTTTTCACGCGAATTATTCTCTTAAAACGATTCCTCGAAATTCGAACATCCAAGATCTTTCGTAAGATGTCATTTATCAGCAGGTTTCACGGAGGTCGCAAATCGGTACCTGTAGCACAAGCAGCTGTTCCTGTTAGCTAGTTACAACGAAATCCTTCTTTCTTTGTCAAATGGCAGAGCCACGAGGATTTTCAGCGAAGGTCGAGGATTCCGAAAAGTTGCAACGGGAAAGCCGGATGAATCAACGATTTCCGTCGCGGCCAATTTCCACGGAACCTTAGTTCTGCGTCGTCTAAATGGCGCGTCCTATTTCTAAAATGGCCGCGGCGAGTTCGTTGCTTCGTTCGCTTCTCTTTGTTCCACGACGGCATTCGCAGATTTATTTTCGCAGCCTGGAATTAGTCGAGGGTCAATGACAAGCGCGATGAAGGTAAGTTAGCACAGGGACTCGTCAACGCTTTTAAGTATCAAAAGGCGAATATTTGTCCGCAGATGGAGGAAGAGGGAACACAAGAGGAGAGGTACAAAGCGAAAGATAGAGGCGAGAAAGCCCACGGCCGAAGGAGTTGACGTTTTGGTACTGAAATAGCCTTTAAACCACCACGAGTCAAAAATACTCCTGCTATTCCCCCTTAATGCCCTGGAACATAGGGCAAGAAGAAGAAAGCGGCGGTTCCAGGGTACAGAAGCTAGGAAATGACGGTTTTACGAGCTGCGAGTATGCTCATTCGATAATATCGAATGGATTATAGGTAAGAGAGGTTCTTGTTCTTGTCAACCATTCGTGGAATCGAATTTTCGATTATTCTATTATTTTTGTTTCAGATATTCGTGGGATCTAATGTTTGGACAATTCCGAGATTTTTGTTTGAAACCTTCCTTGGGTCGAATTTTAGATAATTGCATGATCTTTGATACATTCGTAGGGTCGAATTTTAGATGATTCCATGATCTTTGTTTGATACATTCGTATAGTCGAATATTCGAATAGGTAATTTTATGATCTTTGTCTAATACCTTCAAGTTTTTACTGGTGGGATAGCGATAATAGACTGGGGGGGACTAAGAGAATGTGTATATATTTGTGAAATTTTAGTTACAAATCTTTGATTTAATCTTTTAAAAATTTGCAGATGATTTATTTTATATTTTTCACAAACAGCTGTAGAAAATTTTGAAATTACTTAGATAGTGGACTCTGTATTAAAAATTTTCATCTACATTTTATATCACACGTATTAGGTGTGAAAATCGTGCAGCACGCGTAAACCATGTTTTTTTACAATTACAATCGACTGTATAGTTAACAGTACCAATAAGTCGAGTATTAACCTAGTTAGAAATTCGCGTGTTGAACATTAACTTGTGCTCAAGCTGTTTTTCTTCGCTTAACCCCTCCTTCGTGAGACGTATCGATATTTTCTGAAGGACATGAAGCTTCGTATAAAGATAAGGCTTGTATATTATTTCTAATTCGTCCTTGTTCCTTAACCTTTGTTTTTCTTTCCTCTTTCGTTTTTTTCTTTTCTTTTTTTTGTTTGAAGAAAGATGAGAACGTGCAATTGGAACGTATAAACAGGTGTAAGGTTTGCTTTCGTTGCTTTCGACGTTCATGGCGTGATTTACGAAGCGTACAGTTTGCTTTCTATAAAAAGCGCTTGGCTTTTGTCGAGGCGTCATGGAGTCATTAATATTGTATAATCGACGTGATATTTTTCTTCCACGCTAAGACGTAGTTTCTTTTATAAATTAAACGCTTTGGACGATCACCGTGTGCTTCTTCTAAGAGGATTCCAGGTTCAGTTTAGGACCACTTTCTCTCACTGATATAAGAAAGTATCGAATGAAATATTTGTTAAATAATTTCAATTTAATTCATTGTTCAATGATTCTGTTACTTATACAACACGCGATTTGGTAGAAATTAATTACTCTATTCGGCAATTAAATTAGGTTAATACAAATATAATAGTCGTTAGAAATAGCTGAATGCCTCATAAAAATGCGTTGTATGTCTTTTCTACAATGGATGAGCGATCGTAGGTCGAGGAAGAACGCGTCTGAGGATTTATGACTGTCTCCCCTGAACAAGTCAAAATATCGTGCTCATTATTTTCCTTTGCGACTACATCGGTTGGAGATGCATCTTATAAGAAACATTTTACTTCTACTTCCTGCAGAATTCCACATTCTATGTGTATTCTTTGAATAAATATATAATGTACAGAACTTCTGGGACAGTTATATTTCATCGTGCACGAAGCATAGATATCTTCTTTGGAGTATTAGGAATATAATTTTCACTCTTTTTAGGAAAACTGTTATTGTTACCGTTTTTGACGAACCTTCCAATTTTTTTGCACGTTTTAATTGGATTTATGCTACCACGTATACACATTACTCTGTTTCACAATTTGTGCTTTCATCGAGATATTCACTTACGCGAAAGACATTAACCTGTATATTTTCTTAGAAACATTGTATCGTTCGCAGCGGCGTGATTAATTGTAAAAGGAGAGTGACTCTGAGCTTCTGGGAAATCATCTGAAGCGTAAGAGCGAAATTCTTACAATAGTATTCTGGCGAAACCTTCTGGCGAAAATTTCTCTCGAATTTCTTTCATCGAAAGAAGCTCCGGCTTCTGAAAATCTGCCTCGATGGTAGTAGCTATAGGAGCTATAGTATAACGACGCGTTCGTTACTTTCCTAAAGAAACAACGTTTATGCCAAGAATCATATCGCCCCGCGCGCGTTATCTTTTTTTAAACGATCTCATGTCGCGAAATTTCGTGCGAATTTAACGACGTATTAGATAGTTTTCCGGTAACATCTGCTTCCGACTATAGTGATCGGTATCAGCGGAATACTAAATATAACGTGCGTTGGTTGACGTCTGATTAAAGATTCCATATGTCTTGTTAAACGATTATAGGTAAGTCTGGAAATGTTTCACGTTTGTACACCATACGCGTTTCAACAACGTTTTATCATTATGTAAATGTGGACGAAAATGTTTGTTGATAGAGCGGATCCTCGAAAATTAAGAAATATTATTGGAAACTGGAAATTAAAGGAGCGATGAGAGTGCTCGGGGTATTAATACTTTTCTTGGAAAATGCTTACGAAGAATAGGAGGGTAAGAGATTCCATTTTTCCCCACTTAACAGATAATCAGACTCGAAAAAGTATAATATATCAAGCTAGCGCTATAATTATTGTTAATTGCAATAATTAAAGTCTTTGTAGATACAATTGAGGCATTTGATGGAAAAGGATACACGAGCAAAGTAATGATCCAAAATAGGTATATAATACCTTAATTATAGATATTAAAATATGTATATAACATTTTTCCATCAGTGGTCACAATTCTTTCGAATAACCTAGAATTATAATTTACCATTTCGAATAATTATTCCAATATTTGAATTATCTTTTAAAACTACTCAACTATCACGAATATTTGTAAACCTCCGAAATCTTCTTCCCAAAACCTTCACAAATTTATCTTAACATGCTCACGCTAAATCAAACACTGAGTACTCCTCTTCCAACCTCTCTTCTTCCCTCTACCCTAACAGTCTTCCCAAGTCACCTTCCGACCCCCAAGCCATATCTTGCGCAACATCCTTACTCCTACACTCCAAACATCCAAAATCATCCCTGCAGTCAAACAAACCACCCTTTACTTCATCCTCAACACAAGCAACAAGCGTTCAGGATACCAACGATCTCTCTTCCCCTATCTCTGATCCTGACTATCCCAACGTTCCACCTAGCCACCATTACCTCTCGAATCGACGTGTATCGGGATCAGGTGGTACCAGTTTATGAGGAACATCGTTGTATGGCTCGTAAATAATCCGCATCGAGCCGTTTTCTCGCGAATTCGTCCGGATAGCTAGGTTTCGCCGATCTGTCCGCGGTTTCGAAACGACGAGCACGCGAAACGAGCGGCGTGTGGCGAAGGAGAAAGAGAGAGAGAGAGTGAGGAGGGGTGGGTGGAGAGAGTTGGACGCTGGCCAGCGTCGACACGAGGTTCACCGAGCGACGCCGCGAGGCGTGCCGAGCTGCCACGACGCCTGGCGTCGCGACGTCGCTGCCCAGAGGATCCTCAGTGTGCCGCGTATCGTCGAACGTGCATCTGCGTGTCGTCCTGCCCGCGTTCGCTCCGTTTCGTTATTTCTCTCGACAAGAGCTCCTCCGTTTTCCACGCACACGCGATCGAAACATGTGACGGCTGAGAGGAAGACATGGAAAATGACGAGTAGATCATTCAACGCGATCACCGGCCACCGGAAGTGGTAAACGCGAGACTGTGCTTAGAGATCGTGGTAATGTACGTAGGTTGTTGCGTGCACGATCGTGCTGTCGTCGAAGAGATCTCGATCGACGTGGAGGATTAGTTGGGTGGGAGGTTGTTTCGTTTTGTACATTTTGGTTTTATTCTTTCTCTTATTTTTTGAGAGGTCTTGGGGAGAGAGCAGTGGTTATGGGACATCGTGGTTATTTTGCCTTCTTTTCCTTTGGTGATTTTCTCGTTTCTTCTTTTTGATGGGTAAGGTTGATTGTCCATTGCGATCTCTTGACAATGGAGTTTGAAGAATGATATAATTCTTTGAGTAGGAATATTTTGTTCTAGTATTAAGAGAGGATATGAAGAAAATTCGACGAAGGACTTGTAAATAGTTACATTCACGAATCTTCCCATGGTCATTTGAAAGTCTCACTGAACTATAGAAAGTGCATCAGATTACTTTCCAAACGTTACTTAAAATCAAGTACCCCGTGTTTCATTTGTCTATCGATGATTTATTACGGAGAAAAATCATGTAGTTATAGGAACAGAAAGATCGTCGTATTTTTCTAGGAATTCGGAGAACAAAAATACTTACATTAAGTTAAAACACGAACTGAATTATAGAGAATGCATCTAATTTATTCGATCATCTATATTTCATTTATATCCATCGTCGATTTATTATAGGGGAAATTAAGCAGTAATACAAACAGAAGCGCTTCTGTTAACAGATGAGCTCCTAAAAGCCATAACACCGGGGCGATTGGCGTCACAGTGGATGCTAAGATGCAAAGATATTAAAATTTCGCGTAGCTGTTCGACATAAAACTTTACGACGTCTCGAGTGGTTGGAGTATGTCGTATCGAACCTTCCATTTGCATGGCAAGAGAAAATGCAATTTCAATCGCGTACCTGTTTCGCACGGTCTTCGCGCGTCAATGTGGCATGTAATAACGTTTCGAGATACTTGATCTATACGTGCAAATGAATTACGTGAGTTTACCCGTTGATGAGGTCGAAGAGATATCGAGGAGGATGTTCGGATCGCGACGATCGCTTTGCCCTTTTCTCTCATCGGAGGACCAGAAAAATCGATCGGATTTCCGTTTCTGGCACGGTAAAATGTCATAAATACAGCGTGCAATCGCGTTTCTAGTTCCAGCATGGTGCCAGTAGCCGTAAAAATGGCGAATTTCTTGATCCCGTGCTACGACCGACCGAAACGAGTCTGTCTGTCATGGCAAATACGGTATCGCGAGGTACTTTAGCCGCGGAAATTGTCTTCTGGCCATTCGAAGCGTAGAGTTTGTAATTCATAAAATTTATTATCGGCCTGGAAGCTCGTAAACACAGTGGCGAACGCACAAAGGTTGATCTCTTCCACTTAACGTTGCACTTGGAGCGCAATAAACGTGTCGTTCCCCTGCGATGAAAAGAAGAGAAAGAGGAAGAGGAAGAGAGAGAAAAAATGAAGAAGATCGATAGATAGTTTTCCCTAATAAAGCCTTTATAGAGCATGGAACTGTCGAGGGACTGGCTATAACATTAATAGCCCCTTTAATTCACCGGTTAAGTATAGAGAGCCATGTAAGTTCTATGGCCATTTTAAGACATACGCGTCGTTCGTTAAATAATGGTAATTGATCACGATTACGAGTTTTTACAACTTGATATCGCTCTTC